TTCAAATCACTTGAATTTTAATTTTAATTTTTTTCTTGGTAGCCGACCATCACGACGTCATTTCGTGTTTGAATTTTAATTTTTTTCTACAAATTCAAATCACTTGAAATTTTAGGCATGTGTTCTTCTCATCAAGGTGCTCTCTTACTAACCAATTCTGAAACCAGCCATGTATAATGGCATGGGTTTACAAACCCCTAGGGGTTCTGGTACAAATGGGTATATACAGAGGAATACGTTTTTTGTGAAGCCAAAGAGCGCTAGGGTTGAGACCAACGAGTTTAGGAGCGATCAGGGAATCGGAGGTGTGAACAAAGCAAACAAGGAAATTTTAGGTCATGATAAGAAACGCCAGATCCAATTGAAATTGGTGTTGCTTGAGGAAACCTTAGCCGATCAGGGTTATGCGGAGGATGAGATTCTTGACGAGTTACACGAGGCGAAAAAGAGGTTCGAGGCTGAGTCTGAGGAGGTGGAGGATGGTGGAATTAACACTACCAATAAGTAATTTCCTTTTAGTGGTTTTTAAACCTGTTATTGATTTTAAGTTTTTGATGGAATTCTCTTTTTCTTTGTGTTTTAGGGGCTATTGCTTTGTGTTTCCTTTCTGTTTGTTAACTTGCCTTTTTTTTTACCTTATTTTTGTTTTCTCTCTATACTCTTGGTTTCTATGAGTTACTTGCTTAAATTTCATCTTTTAATTGAGTGTGTGGGGATTGGGCCTATTCTGGCTTTTTTTTTAAAAAAAAATGTATATGGGATTGGAATCAACATACCTGAGGTTATTTTTTATGCCGAAATCCGATATAATGGCTGATGATTCAGAGTGTTTGATTTCTTTCCTTGCACAATTGAATTTTGAGGTGTACATTTTGTGTATGAATACATGGATGCTGTGCAAACTCTTATACCACAGCGTGATATTGTATAATCTTACAATTTTAATGAAATAAAAAGTTTCCAATCAAAAGAAAAAAAAAATGAAGTAAATTTTTTTTAGAACTATTTTTTTAGTCACTTGGAGCACAAATTCAAACCTATTCCCTCCCTCTGCAATTCTAATTTTTCATGAATCAAATGCTACTGAGAGTGTTGGTTGGTCTATGAATTGTTTGATCTTCAATCTTGCGCGTTCTATGTCTGTTCTGACTTAGCTTTTGTGCTTTTTATTAATTAATTTTATCTAGCTTCAAGATCAATGTCTGTTTTTTTACATATCTTGGTTCCCTGTCATTTCCATGTCATTCCATGTATAGCATTTACCCACTCTGTAATTGTTTAGAAAGAAATTAAGGAAAAAAGATGTTTATCATATGGTTTAAACTATATATAGGGTTTTCTCCAATCACATAGCATGTAGGTTGACTTGGTTCCTCACATGCGTTTATCTTAACTTGCATGATATTGGGTTTTATGTATATTTTAAGCTCAGTGAAGAATAGGGCTTTATGATATTTTATACCAGAACTTGACATCTGATGCATGCGTACATTTGAGAAAGGCTTCCAGAATTATCTCGTCATTCATAGGGACTTTGTATGTTATTAGCAATTCTCGTTTGTGTGTGTGAATGTGTTTTCTTTATTTTTCTTTCGGAAGTTACAATCTAGTGCAGTATTGATGAAATTAAATTTTATAAATTTGATTACAGGTGTATTATAGACAAAATACTATGTATACAGAACTAGTTAAACTCAAAAGAATATTGTTGGAGCTTTGAACAAAGTGCATCCAAGTGTTCCTTATTTGGCTAATATATCAGAGAACTCTTGTGTGCACGCACCCTTTTCCAGTGTTTTTGAGGAGCAAAACTTACCATTCTTGATCTTTTCATTGCCAATTTTCCAGATACTTCTCCCAGTGATCTTCCCTAAGTGTCTTATACTATTAAGCATTTTTTTGTTATTTTATCATTCGGTGTGGTATATATCAGGGGAAAACTGTACTTGTAAAGGTAACGTTGTGGTGTTTTACACCATCAATTTTAGTTAAACGGTGTAGATTTTAATGCAATTTCAAACCTACACTGTCTAAATAAAAGGGACTGTATACTTTAACTTTACTTCTAGTAAAACGGGTCTCTGATACACTTTCTAGTTCTGCTGGGATGTCCCATATAGTATTCCATAGGTGCAGTCTACTAGGGCCACAAACAAGATTCGATTTCCATACGAAGTTTGAAAGAAATTTTATTCACCATTGAGCCTGAGAAGTTAAATCATCGTTACTTCATTTCCTCTAGCCAGTTTTTCTGACCTCTTAACAACATTTTGCCCCTTTTCCACTCTATCAAAATCAGAAGAACCCACAGTGATCCTTTACTGGGATTCAGCAGTGTTAGTTTTATCCATTTGACTTGTTAAGCACTGCATTGGTAATAGTTAATAGTACTTGATTTTGGATTCGTAAATCTAGGTGAAAGTTTAAAGCATTCTATTTTCTAGTGTAATCGTCTTAAGTGCATGCTAGTTGTCAATCTTCCCACAGTCTATATCCATTGACAATGCATTGCGAATTAGTCAAAGTCATAATTATCATCATTCAAGCCTTATTCCAATCATTTGGGGTCAGCTACATGAATCTTATTCTTTTATTCTTCTCTATCAAGGGCCATACCCTCGTAAGACCAAAAGTCGCCATATCTTTTCTCATTACTTCTATCCATGCCCTTTTGGGCCATTCTTTTGCCCTTTTAGAATCTTCTAGTTGACACAAATTGCACCTCCTAACTGGTGTTGTACTAGGTCTACATTGCACATGGCCAATCCACTCAAGTTTACTCACCCTTATCTTATAGCTTATTAAAGCCACTCCTAAGTTCCCTCACATGTATTCATTCCAAATTCTATCATTTCTTGTCTTGCCACTCATCCATCTCAACATCTTCATCTTAGCTGCGCTCTTCCTATGAATATGTTGTTTTGGACTGCCCAACATTCCGTCCTATAAAGCATAGCTGGTCTTACAGCTGTCTTATAAAGCTTCCCCTTAAGTCTCAGTGGTGTATGCGGTGGTCACATAAATTCCGGATACACATCTCCATTTCGCCCACCTCTAATTCTATGTATGACATCTTCCTCAATCTCTCCATTCTCCTATATTATTGACCCTAGATATTGGAAACAATCTCTTTTAGGTATTTCTTGACCATCAATCTTAACGACTTCCTCATTTCTACTCTTATTATTACCAAACTTGCATCCATATATTTTGTCTTGACCCTAGAATTACTTAGAGTAACTGACCTTAAAGAAAATGTTTTTCAACTTAAAGATAAGGAACACATTTAACAGTTTCAAAAAAAATACTATTGGTAGCCGACGGTCACGACGTCATTTCGTGTTTGAATTTTAATTTTTTTCTACAAATTCAAATCACTTGAAAGTTTAGGCCTGTGCTCTTCTCATCAAGGTGCTCTCTTACTAACCAATTCTGAAACCAGCCATGTATAATGGCATGGGTTTACAAACCCCTAGGGGTTCTGGTACAAATGGGTATATACAGAGGAATACGTTTTTTGTGAAGTCAAAGAGCGCTAGGGTTGAGACGGGCATTTCACGGTCCAGCAAGGTCCTTCTTGTAGTGGTTCAATGGCGTTGCCTTATGCTCTTGTGGATGGGAGCCTTAGGGCTTTGGCGGCTCAGGCCGAGGGTTTTGGGCGCATGGCCATTGGTAGTCTCCATGGATCTCTTTACTGCGTCACCTCATTGCTAGGTCGGGTTTCCAATTTGCTTTTATTAATGCGTGTTCTCTTTCTGTTTCTGTTGATTTCTGGTGTTTGATTCAGCTGCGTTTTCTCTCTCTCTATTTCTTCTCTAGATAGATTAATTCAGCTGCATTTTCTTTCTCCCTCCCTCTAGAGTTTCCATAGATGGTTCTTGTTCAATTGGGCTACTCTCTCTCTCTGAGTTGAACAAGAGTTTCCATAGATGGTTCTTGTTCAATTGGGCTACTCTCTCTTTCTGAGATGAACAAAGTATTTTGGAACACCGATCATGGAGAGCTCTTCTGAGCTTTTAGAACTTCTTTTATATATTTTATGTTTTATATGACAGTTTCCTAAGCCAGCTTCCATTGTAATCTCATAATTGAGTTCGGGTTTTGGCTAGAACTTCACCTTTTACATACACTGCTTGTCCGAAATGATGACATAAAAACATTTTATCAGATTGTACATTAGTTAATATTAGATCAGGTTCTTGAGTAGAATATTGGATGCAACTATGCAAGTGTAGGCACTCGTGCAAAACCCTAGTAATGAGTTTTCTAGTACCCACTTGTACAATATCTTTTATCTTTTCCTTCGCAATTGGAAAGATCTGAAAAGCATGTGTAAACAAATTAGATGTATATGAACTAAGAGGTATCAATAAAGCACCTTGCATGATGGTGTGGGATATTTCCCGTAATCCTTGGGTTTCCGATGTTTGATTATGGGAAAGCAAATGTTTGCTATGTTCATATTATGTCGATGTGGTCGGACAAATTGCAAACCTGAACTAAAACCAAATTGGAGCTCCCTTGTTGCTTTGTGATCAATTTTCAGGCACATGAAGATTTGGAAGACTAGCCTCGCTAAGCTATGCTATCTTGGGATAGCCTTTATCTGGTCAGAGTGTGCCAAGCTCTATAGTGCACCCTATATTGATACATTTGGGTCTGCTGTGTTGAGTTGGTTTGTTCTCTTCATTTGAGTATTGAATCAAGTTTTGTGGATGTCTTGCCCTTACGTTTGCAGATCTGTTTAATTTTTCTTATGCTGTTGTTGATGGAATTTATGTATAAGAAATTCATGGAATTTATGTATAAGAAATTCATGGCTCTCTTGTTTCTTCCAACTATTGTTATATTTGTTTTAGAACTCCTAGAGCCCTTTTTTTTTAAAATAAATAGTACTGCCTTTGATTCAATGCTGCGAATTAGTCAGAGTCATAATCATCATCATCCAAGCCTTATCCCAATCATTTGGGGTCAGCAACTTGAATCCTATTCTTTTATTTTTCTCTATCAAGGGCCATACCCTCGTAAGACCAAAAGTCACCATATCTTTTCTCATTACTTCTATCCATGCCCTTTTGGGCCATTCCTTTGCCCTTTTAGAACCTTCTAGTTGACACAAATCTCACCTCCTAACTGGTGATATATTAGCTCTACATGGCCAACCCACTTAAGTTTACGCACCCTCATCTTATAGCTTATTAAGGCCACTCCTAAGTTCCTGCACATGTATTCATTCCAAATTCTATCCTTTCTTGTTGTACCACTCATCCATCTTAACATCTTCATCTCAGCTGCGCTTTTCCTATGATTATCTTGTTCTTGACTGCCCAACATTCCGTCCTATAAAGCATAGCTGGTCTTACAGCTGTCCTATAAAGCTTCTCCTTAAGTCTCAGTGGTGTATGTGGCTTTCACTTAAACTCCGGATACACATCTCCATTTCGCCCACCTCTAATTCTATGTATGACATCTTCCTCAATCTCTCCATTCTCTTTGATTATTGACCCTAGATATTAGAAACAATCTCTTTTAGGTATTTCTTGATCATCAATCTTAACAAGTTCCTCATTTCTACTCATATTATTACCAAACTTACATCCATATATTTTGTCTTGACCCTAGAATTAGTCAGAGTACTAACCTTAAAGAAAATGTTTTTCAACTTAAAGATAAGGATCACATTTAACAGTTTCAAAAAAAATAAAATAAAGAAAAGGATACATTTTTCAAACTTGGTTTTTTACTTTATTCTCCTTAGCAGTGGTCTTTCTGTTTATCAAGTTAATTTCCATGTCAGGTTTACTTGATTTTCTAATTTTTCGATATTGGGTTCTTTAGTAAATCAAAGTTAAAGCAGAGTTTTACTCCTTTCCTATTCTGCTTCAGAGGATAGACCTGGATCACTTCGTGATGCCTGCAGAAGAAAGGAACCATTGTGGATTGTCTTTGAAGTTTCAGGAACGATTAAACTTAACACGGGCATAAAGGTATCATCCTATAAAACAATTGATGGTCGTGGCCAAAGGGTAAAGTTGCTGGCAAGGGCTTGCAACTTAGAGAATGTGAGCATGTGATTGTATGCAACCTGGAGTTTGAAGGTGGCAGGGGTCCTGATGTTGATGCCATTCAGATAAAACCCAATTCAAGGCACATATGGATTGACCGTTGCAGTTTGCGCGATTATGATGATGGACTTATTGATATAACACGGGCTAGTACCGTTATCACGGTCTCAAGGTATGCATTTCTATCGAAGTAGTGAAAGTAGCTACGGTTTTCACATACCAAAGCAACAAATAGTAACATACAAAAGATTTTTTAGTAATTGATGAAACCTTGAAGTTGCTACCACCTGCATGAGTATGGGTGGCAGCTCATAAATACCCAAAAATTTTATGCAAAGTTGATGTGGCCATTAGAGTTTGTCTTTTTCTTTTATCTTTTTTCTTTTATTGTATTTTATTATATGTTGTGCTTATTTAGTGTGGATCCCTTAGAATGTTAAAATTTAAAATAGTGAAATTATCAGAAATATACCCTAATTTTCACCTAATTAGAAAAAAACCCCAAACTTTCATAAAGCTCGTCTATACCCTTTTTCCTCAATTTTGGGCTTTTTTGGACTAAAATAGCCTTCATGGTAGTCATATTACTGTGAAGGTCCATCACGGTACATAAAGTACCATGATAACAACATATCTTTCAAACGATGACACTAATAAGTAGTCTTGAGGCATCATGGTACTTTAAGTACCATGATTGATTGATCATCTACTACAGCACTTTTAAGTGGCGTAATTATATTTTTTTCTTTGTCCTTGTTCGAAAGCGGAAGAATATTGAGGGTGACCAGATAAACATTGCAACCAAATCCATTGCAGATATAACCCATCATTTTTCTCTCTATTTGTATCATTTTATTTAGAATCACAACATCTCTTCCTCATATTTATCTTTACATCTAGAGAGAGAACACCTTTTCTTTCTCCATAGTATTCTCCAAAAAAAAGAAAGAAAGGAGAAACACACCCACGGTTAATAATACACAGAGTCACATATTTATGTGGGTTATGTTTCTATGTTACTAGAAGGTATGAACATAGTGAAGATCCATTATACAATTGTATGATTGCCTCATATAATTATATATTCTGCATTATATCTTCCAATTGACCTTAGAGGCCTTCTCCTATGGTTTACAAAGCTATATATCGTAACAAACATGCATTTACTTTTGTCCCCAGATGCCATTTTTTTGGGCACGATAAAACAATGCTTCTTAGAGCAGATCCAACTCACATTGACGACCGATGTATTCATGTGACTATTCATCACTGTTTCTTTGATGGGACAAGGCAAAGACATCCTCGTGTGAGATTTGGGAAAGTGCATCTATACAACTACACAAGAAATTGGGGTATATATGCTGTCTGTGCAAGTGTAGAATCACAGTTCAGAATGGCTTTTAACTCCCTTTCAGTATATACCTTCTTACCAAACAAGAGAGAGAGAGAGAGTAATCTCTTATTCAAATTGCTTTCTTATAGCAGAGAAAGAGGGGTGGGGGATCCATAGTCGAAACTATTTCTTTCCAATATGTGCTTGGATTTGCTCACTTGAGTTTGATGATACGCCTTCCTAACTTGCACTTTTTTCTCAATGCAACATATATGAAGGTGGACAGAAGAAAGTGGCTTTCAAGTATCTTGAAGGGAAGGTACATCCTATTTGCAATATTGGAAAACGGTTCCGTCTCGAAAATTCTTCAATTAGAAAACCTGATCTCTTCATTTCCGTTCACTCAGGCTTGAAACTGTTCTTTGGCCTTATTTCATTGTTGAGAAACTGGTTTTTTCACAGGCAACAGATAGAGAATATGCTATGTGTGGCGGGATAGGATCCGAGGGTGACATGTTCCTTAATGCTGCTCAATCTGGATTGATGATTGAGAGTGTTGAGAAACGTGCATTCAAGCCCCAAGTGTTCTAACCAAAATGGACCATGGAACCAGCAACTGAGTCATTGAAGGATGTCATAAGTTTGTACAGGATGGCAAGCGGTGGCTCGGCCTCAAGATGCTGGTTGTGTTGCATGAGAGAGCAACTCTTTTAAGCTGTATGCATAAACGAACTATTTATTTAGGAGAGATGGATTATGGTATTGTTGGATTGGGTCAGGAGTGTAAGATAAATTGTATTCAGGTACACTAGAAAAAAAAAAGATAAATTGTATTCAGGTGGTGATTTATACGTGTTCACCACAAAAAAATGGACGTGAAATTAGCGTAGTGTGCATGTAAAGCGCCTTAGTATATTCGTGTTTTTAAACGAAATTGTAGTTTACATACGCAAAATCATCTTGCCCCTCTCCATCTCTCAATATGTATACATGTGTGTATAAAAAGTTTATGCGAGGCCTAGACATGATAAAATGTAAGGTATGTAAAACCCCCACCTGAAAAATGTAGTTGGGGATTATAAAACCTTCAAATTCATCATCTTGGCTAATTTTGGAAGCAATCTAAGAATTACTATATGATTATTCTTGAAAGAAAAATTTTGAAGCTTAAATTGTCCAGCACTAAAACATAAAATGAACAGTGTTAAAGGCACATAAAAATTATTATGTTTATTTTTAAAATCTAATTCCTCTTTTATATTCATGTTTTTTTTGGGTAATTGTCTTTTATATTCATGTTCCATTCCTTTATATTCATGTTCCTTCTCGCCCATAAATTTTTGGATTTAAAATTGATCACAAAGATCCAAAATCTTTTTTTGGGGGAGTTGACTCACTAAAATCTTACCCCTTTTTAAGGAATAGTATATTACATAGACCATTTACTTTTAATACAATAAGGTAACAATCACTTCTGTTTGACAGATTTTAAATCGTACGGTTGTAAATTTGTCATTGGATTCAAAGTTCAGAAAAGGAAAATCTCAAACTTTATGATACATTTTAAGCCATCCAATTTGATATCTAATGGCTTGTAGCAATCATGACCTTCTTATGGAAGATAAATGGTCTTATTGTATACCATTGCTCTTTTTAATTATACATCGCCCTTTTGAAATATACATTTTTACTGGTTTTTATATGTAAAGCTCATTTATTTATCGAGCATTTCTTAGCTTTTTTCATAATGGTGGTATATTTTTATAAAAGAAAAAAATTTACATAAAATTGCAATAGCACTAATCTATTCTATGTCGTTCACGTTATTTGAACAAGGAAAATGGTTTGATAGGTTCGCACCCTATCAAAATAAGTAAAGCCACACCTATAACTCATCGAAAATTACAATTCAAGCATTGGAAAGCCTTTACATTGATCATCTCAACTTGGATATTATGGTTGTGAAAAAAAATTGGGATTTTAACTCATAAAATGGTGTATATTGTAATAAATTATCTAAATCATCCATTTTGCTTTAAAAATAAGCGTTTATATATCCACAAAATTTGTACATTTTTTTTTAGTGTTAAATTTTATTATTGGTATTGGAAATTGATTTTAGAGCCATCATGGAGATTGTCTTTGCTGAAAGTGCTTTTTGGACAAGTATTTGAGGTGAGGCTTTATTTCGTTTTCATAAAACGCAAGCCATATAAAAACTTCATCCTTTGAAAATTTTAATCTGAAATTTTTTTAAAAGCATGTCACCTATTAACCTTACCTTAAGGGCAAGCTTTCTATGCTTCTCCTATTGCATAAAAATTATATACTTTTCATTATCCAACTCTCAATTCTGAATGGACAGCTGAGATAGTCCCAATCACAATATCACATCTCTACACTGTTTTATTTTTATTTTTTTTTACAAAATATTTTGTCACTATTTTGGGTGTCCACTCCACTCTTAAACTCGCACCTATAAAAAAAATATTCTCAATAAAATAAATAACCCTGAACGTTTCAATGGGTATTTTGATCACTATATTTTATCAAAAAAAATTCTTTTTAATATTTGTTTTAGTGTGCCCCATTGAGAAGATGGCATATACCAAATTTCATATTCATACGATTTGTAGAAAAAAGAGAAATTGTCGTTAATATACCTAAATTTTAATGAAATTGGAAAAATAACCCCCAACTTCTCAAAATCTCGCCTATACCCTTTTCTCCAATTTTTGGTATTTTTTTTATGAAAATACCCTTCACAGTAGTCTTTTTACTGCAAAAAGCATTACGATAATTTAAATACCGTAATGTTTAGAAGGGTCTTTATGGTAATATATATACCGTAATAATGAGGATAATTTGCATGGTAATTTAATTACCGCATTATTTTTACATTAAATTACGGTACTCGCAGTACCGTAATACTTCTGCAAATTATATGGTAATAAAATTACCGTAATTATTTCTTGCTTTTTTTTTTACCACTTTTTTCATAAAACCCTATTTCGACAAATCGTTTAGCACTTTCATCTATTTTTTATCTCTATCATCTATTTTCTATCATATTATCCGATTTATTAATCTTTGAACGAGGTCTTTGAGAGCATCAAATATGCACACGAACACTGATTTTTGGGTATGTCATCAAAATATTATGTTTCTTTTAGCATCTAAATTTTTTTTATGTTGTTTAGATATTACGGTACTCGTTTTACCGTAATATTCAATAAGAAATGAGGGTACTCCATTAATTGGGAATCGGGTGAATCGGTTAGAATAAAGTTTCAAAAAAATTCGGAAAAATTATTAAAATTCATTATAAATATTGTTTTTTAGGAATTCAATGAGAAATGAGGGTACTCCATTAAAAATTTTCATGTTTTTAAATGAATATGCGAATATTGATATGTTCTTTCTCTGCATGAACCGCCATTCAGCATTTAATTTACATCACACAAAAGGATAAACATGGAATTATCATGGAATAAGTATATCAACATGCATGGACTACAATAAAGCATAAAATTAGTAACATACGATCTAAAAATAAAATGATAGACGACGTTGGTGTTCTTCTTGGTCACGCTGGTGCCATTGATTGAATTCGTTTGACAATTCATTGATTCGATCTAAAAACGAATCATCGATATTAGCAGGCGTCTGACTATTCCCAAATCCCTGAGTGTTAGTGTTTTGTTGTGTTCCCAATCCAAAATCCCCGAAGCTTGTCCATACTTCATGCTCACCTGCACTATTGTGCTCATCCCTACACTATTGCTGTTGGGACTCGATATGTGAATAATATGGCTGGGATAGGGTGGCCTCAGAATCATCATCTCTCTCATTTTCTCTTAGACCCCCTTCTCACTCTCCCTCATTAGGAGCAATATCACCGACATCTCCGACGAATTGTGGATACGTTGGCTGGCTGCTTCCTCTTTCATGCTGCTCATCACTTTCTTTAAGATCTTCATCACCGATAGCCTCAAGGAACGCTATCTTGTGCAACACTGGCTCCTCCTCTTCTACTACCTATTGGTCTGCTGTGTCTGTGACAAATATCGTATCTAAGTCTATCGGCCCATAGTCTTCAAGCTTCCTTCTTATTTATGGCTCTCTGATGTTTAAATTATAATGAACGTAGATTAGTTTATGAAGCTTCTCAGAAGCGAGTCGATTCCTCCTAGTAGTGTGCAACCATTGGAACGTACTCCAGTTACGCTCACAGCCAGTAGCAGAATATGTCTGGGAGAGCACCTTGATTGCTATCCTCTTTAGGTGAGGTGCATCAGTACCATATATCTCCCACCATTCAGCTGGATTAAAATGCAAAAAGCATTGTAAGGGCAAGAACAATTCATAAGATTAAATATATGAATGAACAAAATATTAGCGAGGGGATAACCTGGATCCATCATAGTTCGAGAATTCCTGGCAAGTCTAGTTCCGAAGGATCCTATAGCATCCCTATACATAACAAGCTAAAACAAATATATTACGTTTTAGTGCATTATTCCTCACAAATATAACAACTCAATGAAGTTCTTACCCAAACATTAAATAATACCACTTGTATTGCTGCTACTTGGTTTCGATGGCTTCTCTCCAACCTTGCAATAATGTATCTGACCCCTTCCATAATCTTGTGGGGTTGTTCAGGTGTCAAATAGAAAAATTTTGAGTTGAAGTAGTAACCTAAAAAATATATAGGTAGAAAAATGTCATTTACAATTTTATAAAAAAATGATTTAAACTGAAACATTGTAATGATATAAATATATATTTACCAGCATAATGAATTGGACGTCCAAATTTGGTGTTCCACCTCCTTTCTATAATCTCGATCACTTTGCTAGCAAGATTACACTTCTCCCCAATAGCTGATTTCGCCCACTCAATACCTTCATAAAGGATACCCATGGTAGCTTTCTTGTCAGCATCCACCATTCTTAACACCGTGACCAAAGGGGTAGTGGCCTCTACAACACTGGAACATCGAGACCAGAACCGCCTATTTGAGACTACGTTGTCCACTTTTATACCGGTACTGGACTTCGAGAGGCGGTCATTTAACCACTCTTCACAGGTAAACAATCTCTTTAATGCACGTTCATATTCTCGAATGGAGTCCACAGCTAAGTAATCGGTCGCAAAGCGGGTTATGGCAAGCTTGATTATCTCTTTTTTCTTAGAGTGTTCTCTAAACAGAAATAAAATTTTAGAGTGGTTGTATATAAATCTCGACACCAACCTTGCTTCCTCTAGAGTCTCCTTCACAATTTTGATCTCACCGATCTCTTCTAACATAAGATCGATGTTGTGTGCAGCACAAGGGGTCTATACTAGATGCTTCCTCTTATCCATCAACTTGCTGCTCGCAGAAACACATGCAGGCGCATTGTCCGTAATAAACTAGACTACATGCTTATGTCCCACCTCCTCTACTATCTGATCATATAGTCGTCCGTAAAAGTTTGCATCATTCTTCGTCCCTGATACGTCTTTGCTAGACAAAAAAGCTGTACCTTTTAGGGAATAGGCCAAGAAGTTTAAAAACTCCTTTTTGCTAACTTTATTCAACCAACCATCACTCATGAGAGTAATGCCTGTCCTTGGCCAACTCTGTTTATATTCTTCAATCCACTTTTTAACTTCCTCCACCTCTTCATCTAATATTGGCCCACTGAGCTCATATGCCGTCGGGGGTTTTACCCCGGGCCCGACTCTCTGGATTACACTGACCATAGGTAAAAAATATGGGCTATTGGCTGCATCAAAGGGAATCCCTTTATCGTAGAACCATTTACCAACATATCTCCCTAACATGTTTCTTATACCTTTAACCATGCCTTTTAGGGTCATCTGTTGTGACTTAGGCTTTGAGAGAAATGGGTCTTTACGACCATGACCTGTAATATTGGCACTCCTAAGTAACCTAGAAACATTTTCTTCAACATCTGATTCTCTTTGATACATATTGCCACCAACCCCTCCATACATATTTGACTGGGGCAGCCATACATGCTCGAGCTGGGCCCGCCATGCATATCTGAGCTAGGCCCACCATGCATATTTGAGCTAGACCCACCGAGCATTCTAAACTCACGTTCCCTCTGATATTGTCCATGTAAACTCAATCTTGTGGCCATGTCCAGCTCATTATTATATTGCTCTTCTAGGTCATTATTATATTGCTCTTCTGTATCATTCCTGCTTGATGGTGTATATAAACTAGCTATCTCCTAATTCATCCTATGTTTGGCAATTTTTTTACCTTTGTTAGCATTAAGAATTGCCGCCATCTGTTTTTTTATATTACTAGGGACACTAGTGCATGCAGAAACTTCTCCCTTAACCCCTGTCAAGTGTTGCTTGAACCTATGTACCCAACTACTTATCACTCTTTGACAGTAATTACAAATAATTTTGTCTTTTTTGTTGGGATCAAGTTTGACCCCATGTTTCCATGCAGGGTCTTCTGCAGATCTTGACATGATTCAACTGTTTTAAGATGTAAAAAGTATAAGATTAGCCTGACAGTTCAAAAAGAAAAATAATCGTCATGTGTAGTGATAATATGTTGCGATAGTTCATGTAGTCATATTTGTTGTTATTTGTTATTGCAAAATACCTTTATTGACAATAATATTTTTATACATATCAATTACAAACATTCAGGATAATATAATACAAAATGCAAGCTCCAAACATGGCTACAACTCAATTATCAAGAACATACATTTTTTGCATTAAAAAATTAATATTAAAAACAATTCTTCACAGAGCCAGCTAACATCAGTCATTCCAACTAAAAAATCCATGAACAACAGATAAAAAAAATACAGTTTTGCATTAAAAATATAATAACATGCATTTTTTTGCATAAATAATCTATCAACATACAATTTTTTCAACAAAAACTTTAACAATAAAAATTTAAAATATGGTTTAATACCTCATGATAATTAAAACCTTG